TTTAACATTCTCCAAAATCTCACTGACTTCCTTAAACGGAACGGCAAGTGGTCAGAGATCCTCTATGCCCATGCCTTTTGGGCCCTTCGGAGCAGGCTCTCCCTATGCCAGGCCTGCTCCACCCACGAGGTCCTTCTATGCACCTTGCCTCCCAAGCAAAAGGGCTCTTCTTCCTCAACTAACTGCAGACTGTGACCTTCCTCACCCCCAGAGGTCGACCCCGCGGACGAGCCCCTCCTTACCCGCCACCCCACCGCCCCTCTCCTTCCCCTTCATCCAACTCACCTACTGGCCCCAAAACCTCTCCTGACTCCCCCTTGGCCCCGCTACCCCATCTCCCCGACGCTCCTTCCCCACTTCCCTCCCCCTCTGCCACACGGTCACGTACCCAACACATGTTTCCCCTGAGAGAGGTGGCAGGACCAGAGGGCCCCACCCGAGTCCATGTGCCATTTTCATTGTCAGATGTGAGCCAGATAGAAGAAAAGTTGGGATCATCTTCTGAAAATCCTACCAGATACAGAAAAGAATTCCTGAGACTCTCCCAGGCCTATAACCTCACATGGAGTGATGTATATTATATCCTAAACGCCACTCTCACTCCAGATGAAAAAGACCATATCTGGCAAGCGGCAAAAGCCCATGCCGATCATTTACGTAACCAAAACTGAGACAGCCCAGTTGCTGATGAGGCGGTGCTGATGAGGCGGTGCATGAGGTGATGAGGTGCATGATGAGGTGATGATGAGGTTAGATCCCCACTGAACTTACCACCCGGGTGACCCAGGTATCAGGAGACTCAATCATATGATCACCTTCATTCTGGAAGGAATGCAGAAAAATACTCATATCCATGTCAATTATGATAAAGTCAGAGAAATTACCCAAGGGGCAGACGAAAATCCAGCCTTATTCTTGGCACGCCTCACAGAGGCAGACCAGAAGTACACCAGCCTAGATATCACTACCCCTGCCGGGTTACTCTACCTTCAAGTTCAGTTCATCAGCCAGTGTGCCCCTGACATCAGACACAAGCTTCGACAACTAGAAAAGGGCCCTGAGAACCTCCCAAAGAGACCTTCTAGAAGTAGCCTTTCAGTAGGTGTTCAGTAATAGAGAGGAGGAGGCTAAGAGAGAAAACGAACATGAGAGAAAAGCTAAATATGCCTTTTTGGCAGCAGCAATTAAGGAAAGAGATCAGCCTGGCCCAAGTCATCCAGAATGGGGCTTAAGACTCCCCCCGGACCGTGCTTCTGATGCAACCAGTCAGGACACTGGGCAAAGGCATGTCCAAACCCGCGGCCCCCCACAAAAGCATGCCCAACCTGTGGAAATGGGGACACTGGAAGATGGACTGTCCCCAGGGATGCCCTGGTGCCCTCCCAGACCTGGAGAGTGGAATGTCCACAGGGACGCCCTGGCGCATCTGAGGAGATCCCCACTTCTCCCCAAAACCCCAGCCCAACTCTACGAGAGTCGTTCCAATGACGGGGCCTGGGTTCCAGCCCCCTAGCCCCTGTCCTAAACACGAGCTTGGAACTTAAGGTAGACAGGGTAGTGGCCGAAGAAAAGATCTCTTTTATAGTAGACACTGGAGCCACTTTCTCTCTCTTAACTTCCTACTCTGGCCCAACTCAAGACTCAGAACTCACAATCAAGGGGGTCTCTGGAGTTCCCCTAAGGCCAAAAATCAGTCCTCCATTACTCTGTCAATTTGGAAAAGTGACCCTTATACACTCATTCCTCATAATGCCTCAGTGCCCAATGGCACTCCTAGGGAGAGATTTGTTATCCAAATTGGGGGTCTTTATTACCATACCCCACTTCAATACAGTCTCTATATTCTGCATGCAGATGGCACCTAGACAGTCCCTATCCCTCTCCCCTGACCTTCCCTTGGATCTACCCACCTTAGACCCCCAAGTCTGGGACACTGATCACCCATCCATAGCCAAATATCATCCCTCAGTCCACATTATCCTAAAAGACCCCTCGACTATAATCACCCAACAACAGTACTCTCACCCCGGAGGCCCACAATGGACTTAAGCCTATCATAGACCGTCTTCTTCAAGCCTCTATCCTAATTCCTACCCATTCCCCACACAACACCCCTATTCTGGCAGTAAAGAAGGGACCAAACTCTTGGAGACTGGTCTAGGACCTGAGAAAAATCAATGAGGCCATCATGCCGACATTCCCAGTAGTCCGTAACTCTTATACCCTTCTGTCTGACTACCGTACCCCCGACTGCAACCCACTTCACATTATTAGATCTATAAAGACACTTTTGTCACCATCCCCCTCCACCCGCTCTCCCAATCCCTTTTCACCTTCACCTGGCAAGACCCCGAGACTCACGTGTCTCAGCAGCTAACATGGACAGTTCTCCCCCAAGGGTTCAGAGACAGTCCCCACTTTTTTGGACAGGCTTTACAAAAGAACCTACAGACACTCGACCTAGCCCCAAGTCATCTCCTCCAATACGTAGATGACCTCCTCCTTTGTAGCTCAACCCGAAAACTCTGCCTCCAATATACTGCCAAACTCCTTGGAGCCCTGGGATCCTGTGGTTATCCCAATCTAAGGCCCAAATAATCCAGACAAAAGTCACCTGCTTGGGGCTTTCCATATCCCATCAACAAAGAACAATTCCCTCAGATAGAATCCAGGCCTTAATTAACTGTCCATTTCCAAAAACAAAAAAAGAACTCCTGTCTGTCATCGGCCTCCTAAATTTTTTCCATATCTGGATCCCCAACTTCTCCCTCATTGCAAAGCCGCTCTATGAGGCAACTAAAGGATGTCTGGGTGAGCCCCTCTTTAATCCTTCCTCGCTGGCCAACACTCTTCGCCAGCTCACCCAGAGCCTCCTGCGAGTGCCAACTCTCCACCTGCCAGATCACACCATACCATTCTTGCTCTTTGCACATTCCAACCAAGGACAGGCCCTGGGGCTTCTATGTCAGCAGGCCAGAGACACCTGGGCTCCCATAGCCTATCTATCAAAACAGCTGGACATGGTGACCAAGGGGTGGCCTCCCTGCATACAGGCCATGGCTGCTATCGCAGCCCTCGTACCCGAAGCAAACAAACTCTCTAGACATGCCCCTTTAACAGTCTGTTCTCCGGACACCTTCTGATACTTGCTATCACATCGGGCTTTCCTCTCCCTTCCCCCTTCCAGGATACAGGTCCTACATGCCTTTCTTCTCGACCCTCAGCTCTCATTCTCCCCCTGCTCTCCCCTTAAGAGATAATAAGCTGCTCTCCCCAGCTTATTACCCATGTCCTCTACAACAGACTCCCTCTTACATAGCTGCGGCCTAACAGTAGATCTTACCCAAAACCCCTTCCAACATCTAACAGATCAGCCCATCCTAGACCCAGACACCCCACACTGCTTCATTGATGGTAGCTCTCAAAAATCCCCACCCTTTGCAGCAGGATATGCCATCATCCAGGGACACCTTTGTCACAATCACGGAACCCGGACAATTGAAGCTTCACCGCTGCCACCTCACACCACCTCTCAACAGGCAGAACTGATAGCTCTCACCAGAGCTTTAACTCTAGCTAAAAATCTAAGGGTTAACATCCACACAGACTCCAAATATGCCTATAACATACTTCATTCAAACGTCCTAATATGGAGAGAAAGAGGTTTCCTAACCCAAAGGAGATCCCCCATTATTAATTCAGACCTGATCCACAAACTTCTAGAGGCAGCACTCTTACCAAACAAAGCCGCCGTCCTCCACTGTAGGGGACATCGAAAGGGAAGTCTCATATCAGCCTACAACAATGCCACAGACCGGAAGGCAAAGGAGATAGCCCTGTCCCATCCTTCCCTCTAGTCATCTTATCTTTGACTCCACCCGACCCTCCCACCACCAGAGAAATCCTCTCTTATCTACACTCACTTTTTCATCCCTCATCCAAGACACTCCAACAGTTCCTGGGTAACCACTTCCCCATATCCAATGCTGACCAACAATATTTAGATAACCTCACCCGCTCCTGTCAAACATGTCAACATACTAACCCCAACTCCAACCTTAACCCGCCATCCTTTCCAACCCATCAAATGCGAGGCAGCCTCCCAGCACAGGATTGGCAGATAGACTTTACAAATGTGCCCCGAGTCCGGAGAGTCAGATGCCTTCTAGTCCTTGTGGACACCTTTTCGGGATGGGTAGAAGCATTTTCCACTACAAACAAAAGAGTCCACACCGTGGCCCACATCCTCCTCACAGAAATTATCCCCAGGTTTGGCCTGCCTGCATCCCTACAGTCTGATAATGGCCCGGAATTTACATGCAAGGTCACCCAACAACTTGTCCAATTCTTACAGATACCCTGGAAATTTCACATTCCATACCGTCCCCAGTCCTCAGGAAAGGTAGAAAGGATGAATAGAATAATCAAAGAAACCCTTACCAAACTAACCCTCGAGGTACATCTGGACTGGACTAAACTTTTGCCAATGGTTCTCCTCAGAATACGGGCTTTGCCCAGAAAGCCCCTGGGGCTGAGCCCCTTCGAGGTGATGTATGGAAGGCCCATGCTCCCTCCTGGACCCCCGCTGAACCTCCTCCCACACCAAGCTTCCTACACTCCCCTCTGCTGGTGGAACTCCGCGATGCCCTCTGGAAATACATCAACCACAACTTGCCTGCCCCTGACCCCCAAGCCTCCCTGCCCCCTTTACAAACTAGGGACATGGTCTATCTGTCTGATAGTCCCCAGGGTGACCTAACCCCAAAGTGGCAGGGACCATTCAAAATCATCCTCCTTACCCCAACTGCAGCTAAACTCGAAAAGGTCACCTCCTGGGTACACCTCTCTCATCTAAAACAGGTCACCGGGCAAAAGCGGCAGGAAGTTCGTACTGGGCAGAAGGCGACGTTCTGCGGCTTGGGGTTCAATCAGCTGTGAACTCAACTAACTGTGGATCAAAGATACTCGAAAAAAACTTCCAGAAAATTCCACAAGTGAAAATGCCTCGTGTAAAAGCAGCTCAGGCTGGAAGACAGGGCCCTGCAAAGAGACGTCTTGCAGAACATTTTGCAGCTGGGGAGATAATCACTGATATGACCAAAAAGGAATGGAAACTGGGGTCTCCCGTTGGCCAAGGTGGCTTTGGTTGTATATATCTTGCTGATATGAATTCTTCAAAATCCGTGGGCAGCGATGCACCCTGTGTTGTAAAAGTGGAACCCAGTGATAATGGACCTCTTTTTACTGAATTAAAGTTCTACCAGCGAGCCGCCAAACCAGAACAAATTCAGAAATGGATTCGTACCCATAAACTGAAGTACCTGGGTGTCCCTAAGTACTGGGGGTCTGGTCTACATGACAAAAATGGAAAAAGTTACAGGTTTATGATAATAGATCGCTTTGGGAGTGACCTTCAGAAAATATATGAAGCAAATGCCAAAAGATTTTCTCGGAAAACTGTCTTGCAGCTAAGCTTAAGAATTCTGGATATTCTGGAATATATTCATGAGCATGAGTATGTACATGGAGATATCAAGGCCTCAAATCTTCTTCTCAGCTACAAGAATCCTGACCAGGTGTACTTGATAGACTATGGCCTTGCTTATCGATACTGCCCAGAAGGCGCTCATAAAGAATACAAAGAAGACCCCAAACGATGTCACAACGGCACGATTGAATTCACCAGCATCGATGCGCACAACGGTGTGGCCCCATCAAGACGTGGTGACTTGGAAATCCTTGGTTATTGCATGATCCAGTGGCTTAGTGGCCATCTGCGGTGGGAGGATAATTTGAGAGATCCTAATTACGTTAGAGATTCCAAAATTAGATACAGAGAAAATATTGCAAGTTTGATGGACAAATGTTTTCCTGAGAAAAACAAGCCAGATGAAATTGCTAAATACATGGAAACAGTGAAGTTACTGGATTATGTTGAAAAACCTCTTTATCAAAAGCTACGAGATATTCTTCTGCAAGGACTGAAAGCTATAGGAAGCAAGGATGATGGCAAGCTGGACCTCACTGTTGTGGAGAATGGAAGTTTGAAAGCAAAACCAGTGGCAAAGAAGAGAAAGAAAGAAGCTGAGCAAAGTGTAGAATGTAGTGTTGAAGATATGGAATGCTCGGATAAACAGACTGAAGAGGCTACACAAACCTGTTCAAAAACCAGAAAGAGAGTCCAGAAGTAAATACTGTGAACTGGCTTTTCTTTTCTTCCTTTCATTTGGTTTTCCTCCTTTCAGTTTGACCTTTTCCTCTTTTTCTGTATTAAGTGTTTTATTTTCATGTGAGTCTTATGGAAATGGGGGTAACAATGAAGTACCTATGTGTTTGAAAAGCAGACTTTTTTTAATTAAATAAATACTTTATACAGTTAAAAAAAAAATAAAATAAAATAAAACAGGTCACCTCCAATCCTGCGCCGCCCTCCTTAAATGACACCTATCAGGTGTCCCTCACAGGACCCACCTCCTTAAAATTCACCTGGCGAATACCCCTGTCAACCATCCGAGAGGACACTGAATTACCTGGACTCTCTTCAACCTACAACTGTTCCTGACCCAACTACTACAAGACCTCTGGACCAGCACCCCAACAGGAACCTCCTTCAAAGACCTGACTACACTGGTGTCTCAACCGTGCCTCCGGGGAACCTTCTCCAACCTGACTCCAGACGAAATCGATTTCTTTACTCTCATTCTCTACATCATTCTACATCCTAATGAGCACTGTTCCTCCTCAGATTCAAACAACTTGGGGCCTTCTGCCCCTCGGCCTGACTGGCCTCTCCCTGTCTCTCTAACTATAAGTGCACTCCTAATCTTAATCCTTGCTGTAGGCCTAGTAACTGTCTCCCCTCAGGACTGGCCGCCTATCCTTCGTCTTTCCGTGGGTATCGCCTACGTTGCTAGCTGGGTTCTGCTCCTAGGGCGCTATTTCCTCTGCACTGCCTAACTAACAGCCCATGACTCCTCTGGTTCCTTATCCTTGCTGCACTCCCCAGGCTCCTGGCTGCTCCCTGCCCCTGCTCAGACATTTATTCCTACATACATTCCTCATGTTATAACACAGCTCCAAAACCATGCACCATGAACCTCGGGGGCGGGAAGTCCAAATCGCTACTCACTGTCAAAGTTCAAAAGAGAGGGAGTTTCGTGAGTACCTGCCATAAGCCAAATGGAAGAAACATATGTTTCTATCCATTGCCCACTGGGGGTACGCAGATGGGGGTGGGGTACTAGATCAAAATCGGGAAAAGAAACAAGAACAAGTTATAAAGAACATAATTTCCTGGTTACAGGCGACCCCTGAGCCTTACAAACGCCTAGACCTCCTTTCCCAATTACGGCCTCTCCTAAAACCTCCCTCTGGCAACCAACACCTTACCCGCCTTCTCAACTCTTCCTTCCAATTCTTCCAGTACGCACAGCACCCATCCCAGTGTTGGAGATGCATGTCACTGTCTCCCTCACCACACAGAGCCATTCCCTTACCCTCAACCTGGCTGTCACAGGGCAACTGTACTTCCCCTTCCCAACAGAAAACTACACAACTCATGGGCCAGTCTCTGACAATGTCCTTACTTTCAGCCTCTTCAAACCTAACCTGTATTGACCACTCTAGTCCCAACTACACTGGTCTTACAAACTCCACTCCCTCCTTCTGTTCCACTTGGGTTCTCTGGAACAGCACAAATAATTGCACCAATCCAGGAACCTTCATTCTCTGTGGGACCTATGCATTTTCATGCCTCCCCTTAGACACCCCCTGGACCCTGCATCTTGGTCTTCCTGACCCCAGGCCTAACATTCCTCGAAGAGGGAGAGATAGAACAAATAGTCTACCCCCAAGGGGAACTTTCCCACAGAAAAAGACAGGCTGTCATAGCCGCCCCCCTCCTCCCCCCGCCCCGTGATTGGGACTGGCATAGCAGCAGCCCTAGGCGCCGGGATGGGGGGCATCTCGCCCTCTACCCGTTTCTACTACATGCTGTCCCAGGAACTTAATGAGGGCATGGAGCGGGTAGTGGAGTCCTTCGTTTCAATCCAAAGACAAAAGAGGCGAGCCCTGGACCTTCTCACCGCAGAAAAGGGAGGGACCTGCCTTTTCCTAGGAGAGGACTGCTGCTACTTTGTTAATGAGATGGGCATAGTCCAGAGCAGAGTCAAAGAACTTAGAGACAGAATGAATGCCGCAGAAATGAGTTTCAAAACCTTTACCCTCCCCAAAACCTGTCCCAACAGATCCTCACTTGGTTGCTCCCTTTCCTGGGACCATTGGTACTTATCATTCTATTCCTCTTATTTGGACCCTGTCTCTTCAATCTCTTTCAAAGGTTTCTCCAAGAACGGATTCGGGCCATCTCTCGAGTTCAGATCAAGACCATCCTTCTTCTCGAGAGCCTCACCTCAAGCTCAGAAAAGAGACCGTGAGCCCTAAGACGATCCTCCATTCCAGACCCAAAATCGTCGCCCCTATCCAGCAGAAAGTAGCCAGAGAGATACGGTGCCCTTTTCCCCATTTTTTTTATGATTTCAGGGTCTGGAATGAAGGAGTCTTTTGGGCCTAGAAAAGAGAACAACAGTCTCAAAGGCCCCTTGCCGAATCATCTAACTTCAGAGAAAACGAAGCATAACTTTAGTCCCACCCTGATGCTCCAGGCCGGTTGCATCTATCTGGGACTTAACCTACCACCCCCTATACCCGCCCAGAAGACTTGTCACCCCCTGCCCAACTACAAATGTCATCTCAACAAAAGAATACTCAAAATATTCCGCCTGATTGATGTTTCCCTTATCGCTTCCACAAACCTTCTTGTCACCCCCTGCCCAACTACAAATGTCATCTCAACAAAAGAATATTCAAAATATTCTGCCTGATTGATGTTTCCCTTATCGTTTCCACAAACCTTCCTATAAGTATATAGCCTCCCTGATCCCTCTTGGCTCAGCCTGGTTGTTAGGCCAACTGTCGCCCCTCCTTGCCTAAATAAAGGTAACCTACTTCTGTTGAGATCGTCTTTCCTTTTCTGCCTCACCGGAACTGTACCTTACACAGGGAGGCCTGGAGTGCTGCAGTTCATGGGGTCGAAAAGAGTCAGACAACTGAGCGACTGAACTGAACTGAGGAATTCATTCATTTTATGTAAGTTGTCTTATTTTTTTGGCATGAAGTTTTTCATCATTTTCCTTATAATTCTTTAAGTTTCTGCAGTTCTGATTTTGGCAATTTGTGCCTTTTATTTTCTTGGTCAGTCCAGCTATATCTTCCTGGTGTATTAGCCTTCCTATCAATATCAAATGGTCCCTCTTTGTTCTAGTAATATTTTCTTTTTGCCTTAAAGGCAATTTTGTCTGATAGTAGTTTAGCCTTTCCAGCTTTCTTATGGCTACTATTTCCATGGAGTCCAATTTTTTTTATCTTCTATGTCTTTTAATCTAAGATGAATTTCTTGTAGGCAGAATGTATTTGTCTCACTTATTTATTCACTTATTTTAAAGCATTTCTTTCTCTTTTCTTTTTTTTGACTGTGCCACACAGCTTATTTCCCTGACCAGGGATTGAACCTGCACCTTTGGCAGTGAAAGCACTGAATGCTAACCACTGGACTGCCAGTCTCAGTTTTTATTTTATTTTATTTTATTTTCCAGTCTCATTTTTAAAATCTAGTCTAGCAATCTCTATTTTGATTGGAGTGGTTTTTTAAAATTTAATAATTTACATTAAATTATTCATATAGTTGGATTTATATCTGATGTTTTACTATTTTTTATTTATTTCATCTCATGCCTTTTATTTTTTGTCCCCATGCTATTTACTGAATGCTTTTTATTTTGTTAAATGTTTTTAGTCCATTCTTTTGATTATTCCATTGATTTTTAAAATATTTTTTGAGGGTTTTTTTTTTTTTTAGTGGTTGATTTAGGGATTATAATGTACACCTTAATTTATCATAATTTATTCTGGGATACTAAATATTTTCTATTTGATGAGTCATTGTTATCTTGTCTTCTTTCAATTATTTAAACATGGTTTCCTTAGTTCTTTGATGGTATTTATAATAGGTTCTTTGAAGTCTTTGTCTGCTGAAACCAACATCTGGGGATACATAGAGACTGTTTCTGTTGACTGCTTTTTTCCCCTGAGTATGTTTACACACATCTCACAATTTTTATTGAACACTGGAAATCTTAGACAGAAGAATTTTTTTTGGTAGCAACACAGTATTTTTTTCTTCCTAATGATTGCTGTTTTTGTTTTGCTTGGACAGTTGGTAATTTACTTCCTGGACTAAATCTGTCAAGTCAGTCTCCTCCACGGTGTGCAGCTACTGATATCTCTGCTTAATTTTTTTAATATATTTTTATTTTAAAATGTGGCTTCCTAGGGGTCACCTATGTATCCACATAGTTTAATATTCAGCCAAAAATCAGTCAAGGGTTGTGCTCAAACTTTGAACCAGTAAGGCTCCTATTCTTGGATGGCAAGTACCATATACACTCAGTACACCTGTCTACACAGGCTTCTACAGCCAAGGATGTCTAAGTCGCTGGGGCCCAAGCAGGTCTCTGCTGCACATGCGCATAACCACTAGTCAGCCAAGGTAAGACAGAGAGCTCGTCAGGTTCCGCATGGATGCCCCATTCCCTGTAACTCCGAGCTTTCGGTCCACTGTTGGCGCCGAATAGAACCACAACCTTGGACTGCTACACCCGCTGGCGTTCCCTGTTCTTATCCCACCAAGACTGCTACTTTAGCCAACAGTCCTCCAAATCAAGTGAGCCCCATCAGACAGCGACAGTGAAGCTCTTGATTTTCAGGGGGCTACCCGCCCTGGTTGATCTATTATACGAGATAGAACTGAGTATGGGGAAATCAGAGAAGTCTCAGGTAAGTACAGAACAAACCTGAAGTTCGGTGGTTTTATTAATAAAAGCTCTCAGTTTGTTGTATGCCTTTGGCTGATTTTCAGAGTGCTAATTTAGCAATAGATGGTTTTGTCTAGCTTTATAGTTGGTTTGAAAAATTATTATTGTGTTAAAATATACATAACCTCAGCGGTAAAGAATCCACCTTCAGTGCAGAAGACCAGGTTGGAATCCTGGGTTGGGAAGATCCCCTAGAGGAGGGAATGTCAATCCACTCAGGTATTCTTGCCTGGAAAATCTTATGGACAGAGGAGCCTGGC